GAGAAAGATAGCACAGGATAAGATACTTCACTCCTCTGAAGCAACTCACCTAAGAAGATCCTGTTCTTACTTATTAGTGGTCTCCAGGGAAGTTTCCACTCAGAATTTACTTTAAAATTAAGTATTTTTATAATTACTTAAAACTTTAAAGATGGTAAATATAGCAGTAATCAATGATAAATTTCAAGTAATGTTCCAGAGGAATATTTCTTTCTTAATACCCAGAGAAACTCAGGGAAAGGAGGTAGGAGGAGTGAGAGAAGGAGGAGGTTGGGAAGATGACTCTGACTTCTAGTAACAAAATGTGGGGCTTATGTATGCCTCCATGACCTTGGGGATTTAGACCCCAGAGAACATTTACCGAACTACTTATTTTTAGTACACAATCAGAGAAATTAGTTTAAATGCTCTCCTATGCAGCATTTTACAGAGTGTAATGTCTTCTAAATCAGCGGAAATAATGCCTCATCATGTTTATTTTACTAATTTATTTTAGAATTTTTTATTATAGAATATATTCATATTCACTTAAATAACATAGTAACTACAGTAAAACTCAAAGGAAATGATAAATGAGTGAGATCACAGTAATGAAAAGATAACTGTTAATATTTGTTATCTTTTTTTATGTCTTTATATGTCACTTGTGTGTCTTCAGATACATAAACAACAGAATGTGCATTCTGCCCATTTAATTTAACATAAAATAATCATTATTGCCTTTGGAAACATTGATTCACCTCATTGAAAGTAATTTATGTTTTCTTCTAAACATGGTATGCCACTCTTCCAAGCTTATATTAATACAATTAAGTCATAAATTGAGTACACACCTTCTTTAAATAAAAGATGTACTTTGGAAGAAGGTTCAGTTCTCTAAAACCACTTGGTATCCAATGGTCCACTACACCTGACTGAGCACTATTTGATATACTTGGTCTCTCCCTGGATTCCGGACAGCATGACTAATGCTTGTCATACTCTCCACCAAAGAGCACTAAAACAACAAAGGCTATTTATTACAAGCCACAGGAATTTTTTCATAGATACCATGGCCTAGTTCTAGAATTCCAGCGATCTGCACTGGAATTTTAGTGGGATTCCAGGGATAGACATGAGCCGACACTGACAGCTCTGCAACCGAGACTGGCTGAGAAGGCAATTTTTGAACCAGAGCCACAGCGTTATGTGTCACTTACATTAATTATTTCTATGTTGCACAACATATTATTCCCAATTCTGTGGCTTAAACTATTACACACTTTTGTATCACAGTTTCTACAGGTGAGAAGGCATGGCACAGCTGAACTGGGTTTTCTGCATGAAGCTGCCAGCCAGAGCTGCCTGTCATCAGAAGTTGTACTAGGGAAAAATACTTTCAGCTCCTCAACTAGCCAGCTCTTTATGGAGGAAAATTTTCTCCTATAGGAAAACAGAGTCACACAAAACACATATACCCCACACAGAGTACTTCCTTTTGTCTTTCCCTTTCTTGTGTTATTGTATATGCCACAGAGAATAATTTTCTTCTAAGTAAAAATATTGGATATCAATTCTCTTGGGTAAATATCAGCAAAGTGGTCCTGGGTTGGATGGGAAGTTTATGTGCAACTTCATAAGATACTGTAATACCAACTTGCTTTCAACTTTATTTTTCCTTTTACCACCCTCTGAAATCCAGCACCATTACAATTGCTCCATTTTTTCACCAATAATTGGTATTTCAGTTATATTTATTTTAGCCATTCTAATAGCTATACAATATATCACAATGGTTTTAATATGACTTTCTGTAATAACAATGATACTTAGTATTTATGCATGTATTTATAAGCAATTTGTATATCTGTATTGTCAAGTGTTTGCTCAGATATTTTAGCCATTCTTAAGCCAGATGTTGGTTTGTCTTCTTGTTTTCACTGAAAGAGCTCTTTATGCATTCAACATGTGAATCCTTGGTCAGACATACACACTCACACACACACACACACACACACACACACATATACACACAGACACACACATACCTGTAGCAAATGCAAATGTTTATTCACAATCTGTGGCTTACATTTTCCCTTCCTTTCACCATTATGAAACTCTTACTATAAGATTTTGATGTCAATGAAGTCTATTTGATCAATTTTTTGATGAGTCATTCTTTTTGTATTCTATCTAAAAAAGTTCCACTGCAAACATGGGAACGTTTTCCCTATCTTGTATGTTAAAATTTTGTACTGTTATCATTTATGTTTAGGTCAATGATGTCTTTCAATTAATTCTAGTTAAGAGATGTGTATAATGGGGGGTAAAAGTTAAGTCTCTTTTATCCATATGGATAACTAGTTCCTCTACAATTATTTTTTTGAAAAATTCATTCTTTCTCCATGGAATTGTAATGACATCTTTGTTGTAATTTCAATGAGCACTTATGTGTGGTTCCATTTCAGGACCTTATTACTCTAATGTCCCATGGGTTTGATTAGTGAAATAATCTTTTGTAATAACATAGGAGTTGTATCTAGGAAAAAAACAAACAAACAATGCTGTGTGCAATTTTGTTTCCTAGTCAATAAGGTTTTTTTCATAAATAAAAATCAACCTATGCCTTCGACATGAGAAAAAGAAAACGGTTGTTATTTGCCCAAGATTCGGTAGTCGAAACATTTGCTAATGTCTCATAGAAGTATGGGCTTCCTGCTTACAATTTTAGGGGGCCATCCTGAACCTGCACATATTTGATGAGTTGGGAATTCATTTTACTTTTCAAGCACACATATAAAATTCTAGTACATATGGTAAAGTATTCAAAAATAATTTTAAAATATTGCAACAGATGGTCCAAAATTTTTAATTGCTTTATATTTGTTTACATGTGGTTTAGAACTATTTCACTAAACATTTATATATGCAAAAATCAATAATCGTAAAATGTGCTGCCATAGATGTAGGATTCAATAAATAATTTGAATCATCAATTTCACTACAACAGATGGACAATCTGTAGGATAGTAAATCATTTTTTCTATGATAAAGTTATAAATCTAACAAAATTTGAATGAGTGACAAAGCAATTTAGTGAGAACTAATTTTCCAAATGCATCCTTTACCTCTTTGTTCCTAAAGCTATAGATCAGTGGGTTCAGCATGGGAATCATTACTGCGTAGAAAACAGAAGCCACTTTTACTATGAGCCTAGAAGTTTTAGGATTAGGAACACCGTAAAGGAAAAGAATGGTTCCATGAAAGATGGTGATGGTAGTCAGGTGGGAAGCACAGGTGGAGAAGGTTTTCTAGCCCCCACTTGCAGAAGGCATCTTCATAACAGTGATGAAAATGAGTATATATGAAATAAGAATAATCATCAGGCTGCTTGTCTCACTGAATACAGCAATAGCAAAACACAGCACCTGGCTGATATAAGGGTCTGAGCAGGAGACTGAAACAATTACAAAGTGATCACAGATAAAATTGTTTATGATGCTAGATTCACAATAGGACAGTTCAAGAAGAAAATACGTGAGTGTCAGGGAACACACCACACCCCATGTATAGGCCCAGCCACCATAAGAGTACAAAGCTTCTGAGACATAGTAATGGTAGAGAGCTAGGGGTTACAATCTGCCACAAAACGGTCATAGGACATCACTGCTAACATGAAGAAAGTTTCTGTCACTGCAAAAATGCAAGCAAAACAAAATTGCATGATACAACCAGAGAAAGAGATGGTCCTGTCTTCCACAAACAACCAAGTTCTCCAAGAGTTTAGGTGTAACTACAGTGGAATAACAGAATTCTACAAAGGACAAATGATTGAGCAAAAAGTGTGTGACTGTGTGGACCTTCGGATTGATCTTGATGATTATTATCATGCCCAAATTCCCCACCACAGTTACTGTGTAGATGGGACAAGAAAAACAGAAAGAGTGGAACCTGGAGTTCTGGGTATTCTGAGAAACCCAGAAGAATAAAAGTATGTCTGCTGCTTTGATTTTCTTCAGATAACATCATAATTTCTACTGGATTATTAAAAAAACAAAAGAATTATTCCTGAAAAGTAGAACTTAATAGAAAGGGGAAAGAAAAAGGGGAAAGAGGCTTCCTGTGTTTCTGTGAAGAATGATACAGAACAGTGATTCTCAAAGTGTGGTCGCCAACCAGCAGCACCATTATCAACTTTCTGAGTCAAAACCTCTGGGATGAGGCTGACAATTTGTGGTTAACCTACGTC